AATAAAAGTCTTGGCGAATACGGCTCGGACGAGCGGCTACGCCTCTGGTGAATTTGGAGTCCCTGAATTAATTAAAGTGGCCGCTAAAGTGAAGAAGTGTGCGTGGGTCACTTCACTTTCTGAAGTTCAGAAGTGGGAAGCTGCCAAAAATGTAGCGAGCTTTCTGGCGGCGGGGACCGATTCGGACTGATTGGACTCGTGTGACGTTGTGTTGTATGTAAAGTATATTGTTGGTTTGTGGAAACCGTAAAAAAATTGCATTATATTTTTTGTGTAGGACGCCCCCTCCCCCGCTGAATAATAAACTTCCGCTACCGAGTCCGGAGACGAGAATTGTATGCGGCCCGTTACAGCACCCCGTTTCAGCGACATACCGTGCGTACACTACAAGAGTGGAACACGGAATATATGAAAACAGTTTGTTCGCTCTCGATGTAAATAAAAAATGAGCTGATAAGTACTCCGCCGAGACCAATGCGACCGATAAATATATATATATATATATATATATATATATATATATTTATGAATTTTGATATCATAAACCCTTTCCTCTAGAAGGGGTAGAATTTTTTTCTTAATTTCACTTTTTTCGAGCAAAGTTTTAGAGATTGAGATCTAAAAATTAGACCGAAGGTAGATCTAAAATGGAACCATACCATATATAATTTACTCAAAAATCTGAAGTCAAATTTTTTTTTATTAAGGAAAACCTCAAAAATAGGATAAATTTACACATTGGCCGTAGTCAGTTTCTAGATTGCTATGTGTGTGTGAATCAACAGTCAACAATAATTATTAGTAACAATAATTATATTGTTAGTATTATTAAGTACATTATTGTTGGACCCACGATATCTTCTAAACCACTATAACTGGTTTGAACGCACTATCCACATATTTGCATTGAGCGTTTATTTAAAAATGATTTAATCACTTTCAGTTACAATAAAATACCTGTGAAAGCCCTGTTACATCTCCGTCCCCATTATGCCCCGACCCCCCACTGTACTGGTTTTTGTTTAATAATAATTTGTACTATTTTATTTATAATTATTTTTTGTTTATAATTTTTACATTAACAATGTAATCAAATACTGTGTGTAAATACTATTTATAGATGACTAATGCTCTGTCAGTTGTCATGCCATATGGCGGACCGCTTACTATTTCTCTGTTAGAAATAATTAAAATTGTATATTAATAAGTATGGATATGGTATGTATTGGGAATTTTAAAATGTTCTATTATTAAATGTATTAGTATTTGTATTTTATTATTGTAATTAAAATCATTGCCTTTAGATACGGCATTTGTACCTGGACGTTTTTTATTGATATTTAAAGCTCAGTTGGTATAGTTCAGCGGTATTTTAATTTCAGAAATAATATTTCATTTACAAATTTTTTACCCTTTGCTATTTTAAAATTATTTTTTAATTTAATTTTTTTATTTAACTAGTAGATAATTAAAGGAAAAAAAAATTTTTTTTTTAATTTTTGTGGTCAAACTAGTTATGATAATTTTGAGATTAAATATCAGATATTTTCCATATTTTTTTTTTAAGAGAGTAGTACTAAAATTTAACAAGTTTTATCCACATATCAATAAATTACACCAGGAGTTCCCAACAAAATTTTGTCAGGGACCTCTTAACAAACCACGAATGTATTGAGGACCCCATATAAATGTAAATTATATATATATATATATATATATATATATATACAGGGTGATCCAACTAACGTAAGACACTCATTTTCTCGGAAAATATAAATATTTTGAGAATTTTTTTTTTTCTAAACTTTTAGGTACATATTTTACTACATTTTTCAATATTTAGAATATTTTTATCTTCAACCCTTATATGTAAAACAAGTATCGCATTTGGTTTTTTAAATGGGAACGTATGTTTTTAATTTCATAAATCTGTAGACAACATTTTTAAAAAAGTTTTAGCGTTTGAATTTCTAATTTTCATCAATCGGTTTTGTAGTTATTACGTTGTAAAGATTTGAAATTTTGATCCATATTTCTTTGGGATTTCAAAACAGGTAGCATATTAAATACTATTAAATAATATTATCGACCTCGCCCCGTCGTCCGTCGATAAAACCGATAATCAAATAATAGTAATACTCCTTACTTTTTTTTTTTATAATATATGGAGATGCGGTTCTTTACCTACTGTCAGAAACCGCGATACCATATACATGTCTGGTCAATTGTTCACATATCTTATCAGTAGACAACACTTACGACGACATTTTTTCCAACCTTACCTACCCATATTATCACGGTATGATTATGATATATTATCAAGCCCAAAAAAAGTGCGTGCAACCGGCTGCCGGCAACGTGACTTGCATTGTGTATTCAGAACCCGGAAACGTCCTATACTCCTATGCCGTTTGTTTTGTTAATACATTTAACTATTTAAGTAGAGTCAATTGTGTTTATATATTCTCTAATTGTGACTACATTTTATATTGCTCTACAATGTACGATGAAAACTAATAAACATAATGATTTCATAAGCAAAAACTTATTTCTACTAGTAATAGTAAACATTTTGTAAATATATTTTTGATATTTGACATATTATGGGAAGTAGGTTTATCAGTATTGAACACGGATTACACTATAGCGTAATAATAATAATAATACAATATATTTCGTTTGTCAGATCTTTGTAGGACACCCTGTATATAATAAAATATTCTATTTAAAATTGTAATTATTACTAAAAGTATATTCTACAAAAAAATGAATATTGATAAAAAAAATATTTACATTAGTTTAATAATAATTAAAAGAGCACAAGTGAACAACAGTTGAATTTTCAAATCAATACAACTACTTTATTTTATTTTATGTACATTGACTGACTTGATTAAATCAACAAATGAAAAAGTTTGATTTATTGTTAACATGTTATAACCTATACGCATTTATTTGTCAATCATTAATATTTTGAAGAAAATATTTGGTATAAAATGTATGGATGATAGTCAAACACCAAGTTTAATTAATTTTATATTCCATAATCAAATATCTGTTATGCATTAGAAATGCAAAATATGGGTTAGATTACAAAATTTTAAATTAAATAAAATCTGACATTAGATCTACCATAAATAAAAATATTAACCAAATATGAATACATTTGCTTCATTGATAAAAAAAAATATTGCTACATTTTTTTTTAAAGACGATTTCATTCATGTAAGAAACTAGAAAACAAAAGCTACCACCCAGATAGCAAAAACATATTAATAAAACGTTATTTAAATATTACAACTGTAGTGACAAATATTACATTAATATTATTTCTTCATATCTTAAAGGCAACATTAATATTTCAAAAACATTTGAGTAATATTATTTGGCCACCGCAATCAGATTTTAATAATATTTCTACCATAATATAATTATAATATTACTCTTGTAATGTATCGTTTATAATGTTAAAATAATATAATTACGTTAACATTATAATGTAAAGAAAATATTATAATAACATTATAGCATACTTCAAATTGTTTTTATAATGTTTTAATAACGCTATTTTTGTATACAGAGAATGACCATTTATTTTGTTTTATTTAAAATAATAATTGTTGTAATTTATATTAATTAAATACACAACAATTGAATGTGTAGACTGCAGTCACTCTATTTAATTTTTTCAAATTATGGATAGATGAATTAATATTAACTAGGTTATAGAAAGATGATTATATAAACAAATAATGATACTATAATACATAAAACAAAACAAATCTTTTTATTTGAATTAACAGTTTGGTTCAATTATACATAATAAATGTAAATATAATAACATTTTATATTTTACATTATTTTTTTTTTTCCACGAGCCGAGATGGCGCACCAGACAAATATGTTTTTATTGAACTTGCAATTTTATCATTAGTGGCTTCCTTGTGGTCTTTCATACTTTTGATAGATTCTGTAAAACAAAGTGCAATAATTATTTTTAAAAGTATTAAGTAACTTCTAAAGGTGTTGACATATAAGTCTTAATGGTATCAGACATTCAATGGTACTAACACAATAGCTGGTTAGATTTCACTATCAATTTGTTAACCAACTCTTACATTTATTTTGTTTTGCAGGACATTTACCCTGTTTAAATTATTGGCAGTTACAAATAATTAAATATTAATACACCATACCATTACTTTTCAAGCATATTAGTACACATTTGTATTAAAATGTAAGCAAATAATAAATGTTGGACATTTATTTGATTATATTGGAGTTACTAATATTAAATATCATATGTATACATGTTCATACCCATAATCATAGTGCATGTTGCTAAACTGCTAAACACCTTTTTACTATTTTGGCCAACATAACTATAATTTTGAAGTAGTTCATCTTTAAAAATCTGCCTTAATACTTCTCGAACTGTTGGAGTTAACTCTTTTTTCGAAAAAACGTTTGATTTCAGCTATCTAATTTTTTTTTCAAAAATGAATAAATAAACATAATTTTAAAAGCAATACATCTAAAAAAAATGATAACAAAACATTAAGGTACAATATTATGTTTATTAAACTATATATTAGGATTAACTTACAACACTTGATCTAAATGTTCTTTCACTTAATTTTCTTTCAAATTCATTTAAGTCTTCTTCGTTTTTAATAGGAAAATAGTCCAAATATATATTTTCTATTTCTATTTCATGATCTGCACTATTATTTTTATTTTGAAAAGCTGAAAAACTGTCTTCAATTTTATCTAATCTTTCAGTAATTTCGAAGACATGGTCTTTAGTTTTTAGAGAAACTCTCAATATTTTCATCATCATATCTGTGGAGAAAAAACAAATTTGCATATTGTAAACAATATAAATTAATTTTAAGCAATTTTATAGTATTAAAAAATAATTTCTTAATTGATGACTACTAAAAATGTATATGTTATATCAAATTTGATGAATAGTACTTCCTACCTGATGATGTACCTGTTTAGATGTGCCTGTTTGCTGAACTGGGAGTGAATACTTTATTTTCAATCAGCTTACTCAATTTTTTGGTTGGCACACCTACCAAAAAGGTTATTTTGTCAGTTACGTTTAAATGCTAAGACTTATTCAATATAAAACGTTTAAAATGAATAATAAAGTTTTTATTTCTTGGTTAAACATCATAACAATATCAGATAATAAAAAAGTTACTAACTTTGGCTTTTTTGTTCACATTCAAAAGAATAATCATTTGTAACTTTGAAAGGGGACGCTACAATCTTAATAATATAACATTCATCATCACTACTTCCTAAAATAATATTGTAGCATAGAATTAATATAAAAACAAGAAGTATTTACATTTAAACAAATAATGACCATTTGAGTTAGTATCATATATGCATATTATGATTATTAAACCAATATTATTAGGTACTACTAATAAATATTTAGCTATTGAAATATCATTGGAAAATTATAATAAATATGAAAATAGAGTAGATTTAAATACATTATCATATTTATGATTACTACATACTAACGTATGAGTACCCATTGGATATAAAAGTAATTTTGTTTTTTAACCTACACTTAAAATAGTACAGAAATAAATACTCTACGACAGACTGTCTGTCGTTAGCATTGAAGATGACAACATTTTTGTTAAACTACGTGTGTGTATGCATAGTGTATTATTTTTATGGTTTAGGGTTTCAATATTTATTTATTTACTATATATAACCATAAGTTGCTTAGAGTTTTTTCTAGGTACACTTAAAATTTTTGTTTCACTAAACATACATTACAATTGTAATTTCTTAGTTGAAATTAAAAAAACCAACACTATAAATATTATAATACTAACTTTGGTGTTTTTCAATTCCGCCACTAGTTTGGACATAACCTTCATCAAAGTTTAGATGCCTTCTTACATTAACTGGCTTTGTGTTATTTGCGAATCGTTTTATTTCTAATTAAAATATTATAACAATGAGTATCAAAATTATTCTATAGATATTATTGTACCTAAAGAGTACATTCAACATTTAAATTATTAAAATAAATAATGTTAATTAAAAATCACAAGTAAAACACTAAAATTGAACAACAAAATAAAAGGATTGTAAGGTAATGACGATTATTATTGTAGCCGTGATTACGATTATGTTTTTTTTTCTTATCATTTTCTTGTACGAATTGATACCATTTTTTAAGTCGTAATGAACAATATTTCAATATATTGTTATTGCGATATACGCCTGTATATCTTGGTGGAAGTTAGTATTTGAGTAGAAAATAAAACACAACAATAATATGCTTAACACAATACTATTAAATATAAAAACACACACAGTATAGAGAATAATATATATATACAACGTACGTTTCAATTATAACAGCAGCCGTAATAGAATGGTAAAACCAACACCTTAATACTATGTCTTATATACTGTGACGCAAAGAGCCTTCACGTCCATTCTACTACTATAACCATACGGCGATGACAATCCCTATATGGTCATTCATCTAAAATAACTCCTTATTTAGACTTAAGTACTATTATACTTTACATCTCTGCGTTCTGCATATGACGACATCCAGGAGTCCAACTATCACCGTCCAGGGCCGACCGACCACTATAAGTAACCACAGAGAACAGGGCTAATTGGTCAGATGTCGTCCAGCGCTCAACAGCTCTACGATCTGTTTACGAGACCTATTGTCCATACTTAACTGTTTTACATTGTGTTGTTAATCGTTTCTTATTTTAACATACGTATTAAAAGTTATTACTAACTTTGTTTGTTAAAATTCTGTTCTGCCTACCCTCTTCCATCCTCACACGGCCTCCAGGCATAACAGTGGTGTCAGAAATCTCGACCTCTACCCTCAACTACAACACACATTTTCAAAGGACTCTTTGGACGGCTCTCTCCAAATTTTCGACCACTCAACCTTCAACTTCAACGCCGCTACGATGTCTTCTATCGAACTGTAAGCATACGTTTATTGTCTCATTTTTATTATTGAAGGACCTATTATTACTTTTCTTTTACGATTGTAAAAATCTTTATTAACTCACCATGGCCACTGCGAGTAACAACACGGGAAACGCCTCGGGTAGTACCGTACCACTCGTAAGTCTTAATTTAGATGGGGCTCTCAAAATAATTCCGCATTATGACGGAACCACAGATTTTTCTTTTTATGAAAATCAGTGTGATTTTATTTTTGAAAACATACATGATAGCTTAAAACCCATTATTTTTAAAGCGGTATTGAGTAAATTATCCGGGAAAGCTTTCGAAGCAATACGCTACCGAATCATAGGAGATTATGCTAAACTTAAACAAATTTTAAAATCGACCTTTGCACAAAAACATTCTGTTTCTTATTTACAAAGTTCTTTAACATCACTCAGGCAGGATAAAGGCGAATCAGTTAACGTTTATGCTCAAAAAGTAGAAAAGGCTTGCCAGGAATTAACTTCAGCCATAACAGAAGGTCGTTCTCAGAATACCATAAATGGTATGGCCGCAGTCGTCAAAGCTCAATCATTAGCTGTATTTATTAGTGGTCTTATTCAACCAATACGCACAATCCTTAAAGCCACAAGACCCGATTCTTTCGAATCAGCGGTAACAGTCGCGATAGAAGAAGAAAAAGCTCTCGAAAGCGAATACGCGCTTCATAAACGCGACAATTTTAATCCAAATTTTAAGAAAAACCGTTCTAACGATAAACAAACACGTCCTAATAATTTCGTACGCCTTATCTGTGCTTATTGTAAAAAAAATAACCACCATATTTCGGAATGTAGGAAATTAAAATTCGTCGAAGAACAGAAAGCGAACGCAAATTCCGCAGGTTCTTCTCAAACGCCGCGTAATAATTCAAACAACGCTCGCGACACACGTAAACCGTCGTTTAATCGTCGTCAGCCTAACACAAGGGCAACAAACTCGCGTTCTGCCTCCGATAGCGCTATTAAAACCGCAAGTGACTTTCAAACCGCTAGTATTAAACTAGTCACAAAAATCGAAAACGATCACATTTGTTGCTATTCAACACATTTAAAAGCAGGAAACGGGAAATTTTTTTTAGATAGTGGCGCCGATGTTAACTTAATTAAAATTCAATCACTTAAAGGTTTTGTCGAGATCGATACTTCCAAGGCAAAAATTTTAAACGGCATAAATTCAGTCTCAGTAAAGACCTTAGGTCAAACTATTATCAAACTTATTATTGATAACCGCAAAATTTTAGTAGAATTTCAAATCGTAGAAAACGATTTTCCTTTACCTTTTGACGCATTACTCGGAAAAGCATTTCTGAAGTCTCATGGTGCAGTCCTCGACTTAAACGATAATATTTTGATTCTACCAACAAACGAAAATTCTATTATGGTACCCGCGCGTACAAAATATATTTACTCTATTCAAACACACGACATTATCCCGAACAATACCGATATTATTCTTCATAATAAAAATCTAACAGATGATGTTATTCTAGGGAATTGTGTTACGACAGTACACAATAACGAGGTTATATCAAGTGTCATTAATCTTGACACAGCGCCAGTTGAAATCCGCAATCTATCATTAAATGACTGTATATGGGAATTATTAGACACAGCAAACGTTAATGTAATCCAAGACTCGTCGAACACTACCGACACTATCCCCACAGCCACACAACCGGATCGTATTTCTCGTTTAAACGATAATTTAGACTTGACCCATTTAAATCCCGATGAACGTGATTCTGTTTTAGACATCTGTCATAAGTACTCAGACCTATTCTTTCTTGAAGGCGACTCGCTCACTTTCACTAAAACACTTATGCATTCAATTAATACGCCAACCGATGCTAGACCGATACATCTTAAGCCGTACCGATTGGCGCAAGCTCAAAAAGGGGAGGTAGACAGACAAGTCACCGAATTGCTAGGGCAAGGTATTATCGAACATAGTAATAGTCCATGGAATTTCCCTCTTCTTGTCATTCCAAAAAAGGAAGATAGAACGGGTAAAACCAAGTTTCGTATTTGTATTGACTACCGTAAACTCAACGAGATAACTAAGGGAGACGCGTATCCATTGCCGAATATTACCTAAGTCTACAACTTTAGACTTAGCTAACGGTTATATGCAAGTCAAAATAGACCCAAAAGATCGTGAAAAAACGGCGTTCAGCTGCGATCAAGGTCACTTTCAATACACTCGACTGAATTTTGGCATGGCTTCAGCGCCAGCGACCTTTTCGCGTCTCATCAAAAGCGTTATCAGTGGTCTAAGCCCACCTTTTGTATACGCCTATTTAGATGATCTTGTTTTGCATGCGACTAGTTTAAAGGATCATTCAGAAAAATTAATTAAAGTTTTTAATCGTCTACGACAACACAACTTAAAGTTGCAACCTGCCAAATGCGAATTTCTCCGTAAAGAAACGATTTACCTGGGGCATGTCATTTCTTCACAAGGTTTACGTCCGGACCCTAAAAAAGTAGAGGCAGTCCTAAATTTCCCTCGACCTATTAACACAAAAACTTTAAAGAGTCTGTTGGGACTTAGCAATTACTATCGGAAGTTCATTCCGTCCTACGCAAAGATCACTAAACCATTAACTTCACTTCTAAAAAGTAACGTACCATTTATTTGGAGTGATCTATGCGAACAAGCTTTTTGTCAAATCAAAGACATTTTAACTACAGAACCTATTTTACAATTTCCCGATTTCAAAAAGCCCTTTGTACTCAGCACCGATGCAAGTAATTACGCATTGGGAGGAGTCTTAAGTCAAGGACCCATTGGAAGGGATCTACCCTGTGCTTATTCAAGTCGAACTTTGAATAAAGCTGAAATTAACTATTCGACTATAGAAAAAGAATTACTATCTATTCTTTGGAATGTCAAACATTTTAGGCCTTATCTATGGGGTAGACATTTTACTATTTTCACAGACCATCGCCCGTTATGTTATTTATTCAATATCAAAGACGCTAGTTCACGTCTAGTCCGTTGGAGACTAGAGTTATCTGAGTACCAATTCGATGTAGTCTATAAACAGGGAAAATTTAACACTAACGCCGATGCGTTATCAAGGGCTATCCCGGAATACGAAATAAAAAATATTCCTAATTATATACACAAGATTACGTATACAGGAGGGTTTGACGATTTATTTAATCGATATACAAGTTCCATTATTCTCAACTCGCGTGTCACCGACGTAAACGATACTATAACGAGCGTAGCCGACAACACCGTAGTAGTATTATTTCTCGACCAAGACCGGTTTGCTAATTCATATAAGGAATTGACCACTTGTTACCCAGAACTGCACGATGTAACATTTCCGCAATCAGACAAATACATTTATTCCACGGATAAATTTTGTATATTGTTTTTTTTAGGCGACAGTAATCCGTTTACTTCCCAATCTATTTATGATAAATTGTCAGAAGTAAAGGATTACATATGTGCAAACAATACCACACACGTTCATATCGATTTAAATAGTAAATGTATAGAAGACGTTGCACAAACCCGAGCTATGACGCGATACGTTTTTTCTAATAGCAATATCCAGGTTACATTGTTTTACGCGACCAAGGACGAAACGGCAAACGGTACACCGCCCGATGCCGCCGCCAACGAGGCCGCTGCACTCGTATCGGATTCCGAATCAATTAATACAGATAACGAACCACGTGCTATTGTTGACATAGATCAACAACAGCAGATAATCAGGGAATTTCACGATAATCCGTTAGGAGGGCACCAGGGTTCCAAGCGATCGTTTAGTCGGATTGCTAGGTTATACCATTGGAAAGGGATGCGTAAACAAATAGAAGATTATATATCTAAATGCGACATTTGCCAAAAATCAAAAAAACATTTAAATACAAAACAACCAATGGTTATCACCACCACATCTAGGTATAGTTTTGAAAAACTTTTTATGGATTTAGTCGGTCCTATGCCTCTAACAACTTCAGGACACAGTTATGTCCTTACGATGCAGGACGACCTTTCGAAATACGCTATTGCCGCACCCTTAAAGGACGCGACAGCTAGTACAGTTGCGAAAAGCTTCATAAAACATTTTGTATGCATTTACGGCATACCAGACACGATCGTCACCGATCAAGGTACAAACTTCATGTCAGAACTCTTTACTAATGTGTGCAAACTTCTGAAAATTCAGAAAGTACACACCACAATTTACCACCCACAGGCTAACCCAGTGGAACGATGGCATAGATATCTCAAAAATTATCTTAGGTGCTATATAAATAAAGACCAATCAGATTGGAACGACTATCTATCATTCGCTTTATTTACTTACAACGTAATACCATATTCTAGCACTAATTATACTCCATATGAAATTGTTTTTGGCCGCCCGCCAAATGTACCCACATCGTTCTCACAACCAGTAAGACCTATTTACAATTATGACTCTTATTTATGTAAATTACGACATAAAATGCAATTAGCAAATGAAATCGCTAGGCAAAACTTATTGGTAAGCAAAACCAAATCAAAAGAAATATATGATCGTACCGTCAATTCTTTAGAGTTAGACGTAAATGATCAAGTTTACATGTTAAATCACAATAAAGCAAATAAACTTTGCGAAGAATGGATTGGACCTTTTACAATAACAGACATTCATGATAATCATAATATCACAATTAAAAAGGGGAGGAAAGACGTAAAACTACACATAAATAACGTAAAGAAATGTGTAAATAATTCACTTTAAAAAATTATAACCTTTTTCTTTTTGTATACAATATTAACACATGAACATTTTATATTCTAACTTTATTATTCTCATATAAAAAAAAATATTATCTTATTCTACTGACCTTTCACTTTTTATTGAAACACTATTACACAATACCATTTTCAACTTGTCATAAAACCTGTTCAGAATTATTATACTAATAAGGCATTGTTTATATAGGAATTTCATTGTCATCGACTTGGAGTTCATGAATTTGAACCCAGAAGAACGAGTTCTCGTCTCGGGAGCCATAGCGAACTCGTTGGATAGGTTTGATATAGTTCACCTTACCGGAAATCCTATTGTAATCAATAAACGGGGGTACACTAGACCTCTTGAATTATCCACTGAATACCCCGAATTTGTGAGGGAATGCCAACGGATTTTCGGCAAGACCGAGACATCCACTAACGAACGACTATACCCATTACTTGCCGAACTATATGACAGTATACACGAACCCCTTAACAACCTTAACCCGGAATACATAAAATCTTATATCACTAAACGGGGGGACGCTTCCTTTATCGTTCTTTGGAGTGGGGATACTGATAGGACCATTTTAACCCAGTTAGGGATACATTTCACAATGCTTAACTTAACAGCCAGAGACCTTTCCAATACAGGGACATACACTTTAACTCTAACAAATTTCACGACACGTAGAACGCTGTTCTCTATAGAACTCGGTCCAGTGGTTACCGCAAAAGGGAATGTATTAAGTCTATATCACACACATTCCGTCTTTTGTGGTAGGGGACATTTTAACTGTATACAACCACACCATCCGATTACAGACCTGCAATGGGCTAGGTGCATATTTGACAGATTAGTTAGGAAAATGACATACAAACGACTATGTGCCGAACTAACAAACTCACATTAGCTACTTCTCTACTTCTTTTAACACAAGATTCTAAAGTACATATGCATAAATACGTACGGATACAACTTCGTCTAAACACGATTATCTACAATATTCACAGACCAGTTGCTTTATAATCGAACATTGTTATTATTATAAAATGATTTAATACATTACAGAATGTTTTGGATCACAATCCTTCCAGCGTTTTTTGTTCATACACAAGCCACGCTGATAACTGATACCAAGTTCGAATCAGGACTTTACTATGGACATCAAGGGATATTGAAAATATCGAATGACCGATGGAAACTAGTGACATATTATGATTTCAGTAATTACATTACAAACGCTCAAACACTAACAAACATCACAGTGGAAACTGATAAATTATGTACTTTCATCGACACATTGGGTAGTCATAGTAACAAGACCTATAGTTCTTTCTGCACTGCTATGAGTGCGAAACAAAAACTTACAAAAACTAACATAGATATCCGAAGGGAAGCATTATTAGATGTAGTAGGGTATAATCCCAGCTACAAACACTTTTCTAAACGCTCGATTACTAATACTATAAAAAACATAGCACACGTTCTATTCGGAGTATGTGACGCTCTATGTTCAGATACTAACTTAGGTCACATACAGAATATACATAACTCAGAAAATCAACAATTAGATGTGCTAGATAAACAAATAAAAATCATTAAATCTGGTATGACATCCTTACACACTTTAACTAAAAATCTTAATGATAATACTCAAGTAATTTCTAAACAATTGGATAAAATAAATCAAAGTTTGACCAATATAGCGACACTTAATGAAATAGGCTTTGCCGTTACACAGCAGTTTCTATTATTAAACGCTTTAACGGACCAGTACGATTCTGATACAAACTTGTTGTCTGATTTAATACACGCCGCACAGGTAGGACAAATACATTCGAGTATTATAACACCCAGTGAACTTTTAGACACTCTAAAAGACATAAAAGTACATTTACCAAAATCAACTGACTTACCTGTAGGTTTCACCACCGCCGATGTTGGTGAGTTACTAAAGATTTCTGAGACAACTATATTTTCAAAGGACCAAACTATTGTATTTGTAATTGATATACCAATTGTAAACCAAATCGAACTAAACTTATACAATTTAATACCTTTACCCAAACATGTTACTAATGATAAATATATTTACATTGATTCTAATTATGACTATATTGCTGTTAGCAAAAGTAAAGACTATTATACAACTTTTAACAACCTACAAATATTACAATGTAAACGTACTAAAAACTTTATCCTATGCCCGCAATACCAACCGTTACACCCTAAATCTATGAAACCTATTTGTGAAATTGAATTGTTTTTTCAACCACCTAAATTACCTTTGGATTGTAAAATAAAATATTTTGAATTAGACACTAGTATTTTTCACAAATTACTTTTTAAAAATTCTTGGTTATATATTACCAGGGAAGAAAATATTTTATTAACTTGTAATGAAAATATAGAAACCAGTAACACCCGTATCCATGGGGTAGGATTAATACATATACCCATTAATTGTAAAGCATATTCCAATCAGGATGTGCTGATTCCAAATATAATTAATGAGAATATTGATTACATTGATTTTGTACCACAGATTAACATTACTAATACTAGTTATACGGATAAGTTAAATATTTTAAATGTAAACAAATTATTGACAGACCATGTATTAACTAACAAACTTAATGATGTGAAACGTATATCTGAATCATTATTAAATGTACCTGATAAACTTAATCAGAAAGATTTTCAATACAATGTAATAACTAATACTAGAAGACATGACATGTTGTTATACACCATTTGTACAATAATTATACTTTATTGTCTGTATTTTGTTTCAACCCTTGTGACAAAACTTTTCCCATGTAATAACAGAATATACAATTTTTGCTCTGAGTCTGTTACTAGGCCAACCAATACTGACGGAGTTGGACAACCGCTTTCTACAACGGACCCTACCAATTTTGAAGATGTTGAACTTCAACCAAGAGTGACAGCTCATCATATCGCAACCAGGAACGTTTTACACTATCCACCACTATACTAAAGAGGACATCCGACGAAATATGCCTCTTTACTTAAGGAGGGGCGTGTGACGCAAAGAGCCTTCACGTCCATTCTACTACTATAACCATACGGCGATGACAATCCCTATATGGTCATTCATCTAAAATAACTCCTTATTTAGACTTAAGTACTATTATACTTTACATCTCTGCGTTCTGCATATGACGACATCCAGGAGTCCAACTATCACCGTCCAGGGCCGACCGACCACTATAAGTAACCACAGAGAACAGGGCTAATTGGTCAGATGTCGTCCAGCGCTCAACAGCTCTACGATCTGTTTACGAGACCTATTGTCCATACTTAACTGTTTTACATTGTGTTGTTAATCGTTTCTTATTTTAACATACGTATTAAAAGTTATTACTAACTTTGTTTGTTAAAATTCTGTTCTGCCTACCCTCTTCCATCCTCACACGGCCTCCAGGCATAACAATACTATACAATCTAGGTTACAGTCGTAATTGGTCCTTGTATAAACAACTTAAATATTACTCATGATTTCTTCAGTGTACACTTATAATACCATATAAGGTTATATAATATTTATTACTTATCCATGACCCAAATAAACAATATTAATTATATTCAATAATTGTTATATTATAAGTTTTTTTTAATTTGTTTGTGTACTTACAATTATTCTAGCAAAATTATAAATTTAATATTTTTTAAATAGTCGTCATATCATGTTATCCACAATTTAGGTCTAGCTTTAAAATTCAATTGATTCATAGGTTCAAGTCTTAATTATAGTATAAAATTAAAATATAAGCTATTTACGGTTACATTGCAATATTTTCTTCGATAACTGCAACTTTATATTCAATGCAAATGTAATTACTAAAATGTTTTATTTGTGATTTGTTTTTAAAATTATTCAATGTAAATCTAATTATGTCTTTGTTGCGCAATAATATAAAGAGGTACCCAATTATTTAATTATGTTTATGGATTTGTAGTGTAAGTATTTTGTATATACAAATGGGTATTTAAAATATAAATGCTTACCTTCACTTGATACAGGAGAATCAGATGCTTGTCTTTTGTTTGAACATAATAAAGGATTTTTTCCCATGTTTTCATCACTGGAATCTTCCACCACTATAATATATAAAATATTTAGAGCTTTATATAACTCATTAACTAGTCATATTAGTAGCATCTTTTTAAACTTAATTTGTAAAATAGCTCTTATTATAATATTTTCTCACCTCATAAAATATTTTCTTTGGTTAGCTTATATGATGGTTCTTTAACGATGTCATCTTGATTTTCACTAGTGTCGCTTCTGTGTTCATCGACTAATAAATAATAACACAAAATTACAATAAAATAAAATAGCATAAAACAGCTCTATTATTTTTAGTTAACTAATTGTAAGTACCTCTACCACATTGAAACACAAAGATAAAGACAATTTTAGAGTTTTACTACTTTTAATAAAAACATTTATATCAACCTTCATAATACTAAAAAGTTGTACGACTACAATTAATTAGTCCATATAAATGGACAATGTGCATATTTTTCTTTAAAATGTTCCCCCTTATTATAGACAGTAATTTTAGCAGATAACTCACTAAAAACTAAACATGCTTAAGATAATGGTTTACCTATTGAATATCTTTCCTGATTAAAGGTTGGTGGATTTGGAATGGTTACTGTACTGGATCTGTGTTTTATGCGTTTTCTTTGTTCTTGATCTAAATCGGAAGTTTCCTCTGCTAGTTTAGCTTTTGATCTAGCTTCTTGCTAGGTTTCTACAAGATAATGTTTTTATTTTCAAGTTTTATTAGACATAAAAAATAAAATCAACAAATAAAATTAAAGACTTACTAATATTGGTTTTCAAGATCCTTGCAGGAAAAAAATCATATTCGATTTTATTAGGTTGAAGCCTGCGTTCTAAGCATTTCTTTACGTCTTTTATAGGCCAAGCACAAATATTTTTACTAGTGTTCACCCAACGAGATGGAACAGCGTCAACTGTGTTATCACTTTTAAAAAGAACAACTGTCCACATCCTAAAAATTGAATTAACAACAAATTAGATAAACAACACAATAAATACACTCAAGTATAATTTTTGACCTGTTAAAAGATTTGTTGTTAAGTAGATTGTAAATAATTTTATAAGGCATGTAGAAATGGAACAGCAATAGCTTTATTTTTAAAATGAAATATCATTACTTTTTTTTTATATCATTTACTGACCATGAACAAAGTGTGTTTGACAAAGTTTCCACTATATAAATATTGAAGTGTGAGGATTTTATCGGTTGATCATACATATCTAGCATGTGTTCAAACTTTTTCCAAATTAAAATAATTTGGCCAGCCACAGTTGAAGTAGCAATATTAATTACTTTTACAATTTCATTTTTATAAGATAAAAAGTAAGAATCTGCATTATTTTTTGTGTTAAATTTAAACGTTTTTAAGTTAAATATATTTTATTGCGGATATGTCGTGTTTAGAATTAATGGACCTTTGTCATGTGAGCGAGCTACTTTAAATTGATCAATTTTAGGTGTATCCTTTTTGGTGTGTTGTATACTTATTTCTTGGTATCTGAGTACTACTTGTCTAAAGGCTTATCTGGTTTTCTTAATAGTTTTTTTAGTCTTTGCATATAATTTTCAAAGGGAAAGGCACTGCAGTTGTCTAATGGTCCATAATGATCATAGTCATCAGCTATGTGTAATAAACCATGTATGTTGTGAGATATAAAGTGGCTACCATATATATCTTTTAATGCATGTACAAAATATTTTAATAAATCTTTAGCATAATTTAAAAAATTTGAATGATCCGGACTTAATAATATCATCATGGCAATGCTTAATGACATGAAGTGTTTATAGCAATCTATGGATAAATGATCTTTTAAAATAATAGAAAAGATATATAATAAGTATGTTCTCAGCTCTGTGGCCTTAAATCGAGAGAACTCATCAAGACTTCTAGGTTTTCTAGAAAACTCACAAGGAAATGAAGTCTTAAGGCTTATTGCATCAGAAGATAAGCTCTTAATTTTCCAAGAAGGTAGTCTAACATTATAGGGACCCTTTTTGATCCATAATAAAATTAATTTTTTAACAGTGCCTAAGCAAACTAAATGCATATAGTCTGAAGATAAATTAGACACTATATTGAACCTTGGTATTTCAGTAATGCGTGATATAGAACTTTGAATATGTAATTCTGTTTCATAGATATTATTTGTTGTAGTTAAATTATCATTAGAACTGTAGGTTAATAATTGTTCTTGGATTCGACGCCTCTTTGAACGATAACTTTGTTTTTTATTCATTCTAAAAAACATTAAGATGCTGTTTTTCAAATAATTTTTTTTTTTATACCCTAATTGAAAACATTTTCAAGCTAAAATTCACATAATTTATTATAGCAACAACAAACATTACAATTTATTGACAGTACAATAGTGAGATAGCTTAAATGATTTTGAACTTGTAAAAAAAAAAAATCTTTATAAAAAATCTTTTAAAGATAAATTATGCCTTTTGGAATGATATAAATTAAAGTTAATATATGGAACGAAACGTTAATATTATTAAAAGACAATTAAAATCCAAAATAGTAGCATTGTCAAATTGATGATGTTTTTTACTTATTATTAATTTATAAAAATCAAATTATTTTATATATTATAATTTTATTTTATAAAATTGATTAGGTAGTAAAATACTACTTGTTATAATCAGCATATTAAAATAATTAAATATATAGTTTGTCCTCTCAATAGATAAATTTTATTGGAAAAAAATAGGTATATATTTTTTTATCCATTTTAAATTGTTATACAATAGTGTGGTCAGTAATACCTAGTGTTTGGGCAACTACTTTAGAACCGTTTTTGGGCTAATTTATAGCCTACTTTTATTAGAGTGGGTATAGTACTCTGGACTAGTAAGACGAAAAGGAATGAAATGAAGTATGAACAGCAAATGTTTTCCATGACTGTACAATGGTGGTTCGTACTTTAAGTACAAAAAGTACAATCATGTAGGGTTAACCTTATCGCTAACTACCAGTGGCGTAGTTACGGGGGGGATTAGGGTGTCGTATCCCCCCCATGACCTTTTTTTTTTACTGGCCATAGGCTCAACAAAATATTTATGTACTTATTTAACATTATTATAGTAAAACCCCGAATCTCCTATGTACCTATATAGTTTATAAATATAACTAAAATAATAGCAGTCGATTGAGTTTTTTTTTATTGCGGAGTGACGATGCACATCAACAATGTCGTCGTATAATGTACGTCAATAATCAAACAATATTATACTTGTGTAAATGCTCTGAAAATAACTGATGGATTTATACACGTTATCGGAATTTTCTTAACAACTTTTTGTCTCATTCGATAAACGGTATGTGGGCATTAAGATTAAGCATGTGGTCAGTGGTAACAAATTACAATCAGCAGTGTGAGCAACTGGATAATAGTTGACAACAGTTTTCACTATATTATGTATACTGTATAGTGTATTAAAATATAGTTGTGAATTGTGATACGTGAATCATAGTAAGTCAACTAGGTACACGAGTTTAGACTTAAGTTATTTTATTATTTAGTTGTGTCATAGAGAAGACAATTTTTTTTATAAGTCTAAAAATGGAAGGAAAAAGAAAAAAATGTAAAAATACTAGAAATACACTTTTTTTATATTTTTCAAAAAAAATCGTTCTATTGAAAATAAAGAAGATTGTAATGAGGTAAGTATCTTTATCGTTTTATATGTTGTTTCATCACTCCAATTTTTGGTAATTTGGTTTATTTTGTAAAACAAGCAATATAAAAGCAATACGAAATTGTTTAGGTATTGTTGAAAAATTATACAATTTTTTCAATACTCCCAAACGAAATCATGTGTTATTATCTACTATCGAAAACAGTAATGTTGATCAAAAAATAAAAACATTAAAAAGGCTATTTGCAACTCGATGGGTGCAAAGATACGATGTGATTCATGATTTCATTGAGCTTTTTAAGTTTGTAGTAGAAGCTTTAGAATGAATATCAGATTGGAAGGATTCGTCTGCTACGGATGCATCAATAATTCTAAAATCAATGGACTCTGAATTCCTAATTTCAGTTAATATTGTTCAGGTAAAAACAAAATTTTTAATTAAAAAGAAGGTATCTTAAGTCTATTGCAATTACCTGATGTATTTTTCAGCTAATGTTTTCATTTGGCTTACCGTTATGTAAATAATTACAAAAAACCAAAATTGACTTAAAAGAAGCCATTGATCTCGCACAAGATACTATCAATGAGTTATGTACATTATTGTTAGTTACATACTGTTATGTTTATTACAAAAAAGAGCTATGTACATTATATTATATTATATTACAAACAAAATAAATGTACTTGAAAATTAAGTAGTTTGTATTTTTGTGTGTACAAAAATGTCTATCCCCCCCTAAGACAAATTCCTAATTACGCCACTGCTAACTACAATTATTTAAATAAGGTGGAACTCCATATAAATTTAATTTAAAAAACAATGTTGAACAATTCATAGTAACAAATGATACCTTACCTTAAATCTTGATGCACCCAATTACACAAATCACTATGTCACAATGTCAACAATCGCACACGCACTTCACAGTTCACGTTTGTCGAGAAAATGACTTCACAATGAAAACAAAAGATTCAAAATGTCCAACACTAACGTTTTGTTGACGAGGCGACGATCAGCGAGCGTTGTCACGTGATTAACCGTATTTCACTAGTCTAACCGTGGTTATCGCTGTCAGCTTATTATCATAGTATTGCCCAACAATTATCGAATCAACTTTCGCGCCCAAGCCAGTCATACTCGTTTTTATCACGGTTAGAGTTCTACATAACACCCAATAACTGTGAATCTATGATGATGACAAAAACGTTCAGACATTATTATTTAAATATAACCTTAATTATATCTATTTAATATTATAACAAGTAATAGTAAACATATCAAATTGATTACATCTAAATACAGTAACTTTTAAATCATAATTATAAATTTTAAAAAAAATAGGTACATTCTTTTGGTACGGTGTAAAAATACTTGGAAAAAGAAAAATCTTATTGGAGTAGGAAAAACTACGTTTTTCTAAGCCCATAAACCCATAATTATAAAATTATATTATAATTAATTTTATAAATGAAATATGCGAATTATGACTAAAATGTTTAATTCGCCAGGGCCGGCGAAAGCTATAGGTGACGTTAGCGATCGCCCATGGCCCAATTTAAAGAGGGGCGCTAGATTGCCTAAAAAAGATACTTTTTTATAAATACGCCTCAACTTGAATGATTATTGGCGTTATCGAAAATTGTTTATTTTATTTGAGTACATCATTTTTCTATTCCCGCCCGCCAAACCTAACATCCGGTCAAAAGACTAAAAATAAATGTTTCCTATGAAATTGTTATCGACGTTGTTGTATAATGGAATCTTACTTTTAATAATAAATACGATGATATATATATATATGTATAGATATATATATATATATATGCCGTAAATTAATTTTAAATTGGTTAATAATCACCACAATTAGTTCTGCAATTTATTTATAACCTGAAATTCAGTGCTTGACTTGTGGGGGGGGGGCGCAGGGGGACTGAGTACCTCAACTAATTTTTTGGATATTCTAGCGTACCCCTACTTCTTTTTTAAATGGGAACGCATGGGACGGGTTGTTATTTAGTCTTACCTATACTTATAAAGTTGCTCAACTCAAAATGTTTGTGTTAAATATATAAATCTTACAAAATATTCTAATATTTACAAAATGTATTGATACCGGGTGATTACAAAAGAATAAGTCGGTTTCAAGCTGCGAGACCTCTTAAAATAACCTCAAGTTTTTTTTAAAAAATCATAAATGTTCAATGTGTCCTCCTTGAGGACAATGAGGACTTACCCGAACAATGTCAAGTCGGTATGCAAATTCCTCACACACTCTGTGGAGCATGTCAGTAGTTGTGTATGGATTTTGTTCACCCCAAATTATCCTAGCGGTAACCTAATCTAACATGAGGTTACAGCGGCCATTTTAAGAGGTCTCGCAGCTCTGTAGCTTGTACCGTTTAGAAAATACAGATATTTAAAACCGACTTATTATTTTGTAATCACTCTGTACAACTGTATTTATATTTTGAATTTTACATTGAAATAATGATACCGTGTAATTTGTTTTTAATGAAGATTAAAGATTTTTAAAAATAAAAATGATTAAACAATTTAGCAAGTATTAATTGAGCATACTATTTAGTCTATATAAATATTTAGTATACTATTTAATATTGTTAAAAGGTATTTCGCTTATTTTATGCGCAAAATACCTTTTTCTGGAGAAGGAAATGGTGTATGTTAAGCCCAACACGTGCGAAAAAATCCCATTTATATTATATGCAAATACTAAAACTATATGTATAACCTGAATTGATTACACCGCAGACGGCGGCTGAAGGTTGGTACCATCGGTCATTACATTGTCATTGTATATATATTTTGAACATTCATACAATTTATTTAAATGGGGTTTTTTTTTGTATAATTTATTATCCTGTTTTCTTAAACCTTTCAGACAAAGTACAATATTTATAGCTGCCATTTAATTGTACACCTTTTTATTAGGCGGACACTAGTGGGCGTGGACCACTCACGCACTGCACCGTAACAAATTATATATACATATATAATATATATGTATATATCGTACCCCCCCCCCGCTTAAAAAGTGACTCAACTCGATAAATGCCATTTTCCAATAGAGCCATTTAAAAAAAAGTACAACATAATGTAAAATATTGTAATACCAGAAGTTGCGTGGGCAATAACTTATATAATATAATATATATTAAGTTATGGCACATACATCGGTGAAAAATAATAATAATATACTTATGACGTTTTGCCACAATAATGTTACGATATTTATTTAAAATATGCTATAATAACCTCAAAAATCATGTTTTTGAGTTGTGTCACTTTTTAAGCGAGGCGGTGCGAATGTACGCACATGACACTGCAAGCCTGTGTCATTCTTTGTACCTAATCTCCATAAAATAACTTCTGCTAACCTAATAAAGGGTTATCGAACAATTGTTTTAACAATGTGTTAAGGTTCACAAATCTCGATGAAACCCAATTTACATTAACCATAATTTAACTACAATTTACATTAACTATACTTATAGTTGTTCGATATAATTACTAATAAGTTAAATTCTTAACAAATATTGGTAAACCCAGCTGATTGAATCATAGACATATTTTTTAGGGTCCAATCTGCTGCGGTCACGTATTGCAAACTCAAGTTAAGTTCTTTGAAACATGTTTAGACTTTAGTGATAAATAGTTTACAGTTGATGGAAATGAGTTAAATGTCAATATCGGTTTTATTTCTAACGTATTATTAGATTGCGATGCCAAGCGATATAGATACCATTTAATAAGTAAATACTTGTTATCTATTATGTTTAAGTTAAAAAAAAAAAACATGACAGAACATAGAAGTCTCATACCAACTTATCATTTAACACCGCCCTGTTCACCACAGCCTGAATAAACTTTAGATCTGAGCGAACGAGACAAATTATTATTTTTACTATTTACTATTTAAACAGAAGCAGAGTACTTATTTGTAAGTTAAGTCGGTCGACCAAAGACCAAACAATCACAACATACCTAATATAGACAAATGCAATGTGTCATTCCGACATTTTGTTTGTTTTGTGTATACATGCATAATATTTAGTTTTTTCTTTTTATGAAGAAATTTATTAGCACTGAGACACGTTAGTTTAGAATTGTTTGTATACGTAAATCGATATTAAGACGGCAGCGGCTACGAAGATAAAATACGTTAAAGTATGCAACCCGTATAAACTAGTGCCCACCGCCGTGTATCCTAAATTTTCTAGCATAGCGGCCTGCCAAATAACCGTATCTACGTCGTGACCCAACATCATAGCTAGAGCGCCGAAAAAATCGAATTGCGTACATCTGTATTCGATATTAACGTTTGATATGTGCGGATCCTCTTGGACACTGTCGCAATGTTTACACGCCGTAGGGCTGTCAGCTCCACAAAGCGTATTTTTTAGCGTATCTGGTAAATCCGACGGTGTACATAGCTGAATGTGGGATTTTTCCGACGTCGACTTGGCGTGACACGAACACTGCAGTACTTTACAAACGTGTAGAGCGCCGTTGACATTTTCGAACCGAAAACATCCGCTCATCTCGTTAGCGTACTCGTGCACGTAGTTGGACACGCCGACGACGCCGGCTCCGGCTAAAAATGTTAACGCCCGACCGGTCAACGTTTTTGGTGTACGTTGAAATATGTATTCAAGCGCTTGTCGTACTTTCGACGTTTTCGGTAACGCCGCTGCGTCCGCACTCAGTTTGGCTTTATCCGATGCGTCGGCAAAATAAGAACTTTCTTCGCGTAACGAGGTCTCTAGCCGTTGTATTTTTTTCAACCGGTACGCTGGAAGGCTTTTATATTCTGCCGTCAAATCGACGATCGCGTGCGGGTTGTTTTTTGCGAAAACGTCGAAATCAGCGCCTATCGATTTGAACGCTTCCTCGAAATCGCCCGTTTTCAGTTTACCTGCTATATGTGACGCGAACGAATCTCCTATGCGTAATTTTGAATTTTCGATCGAGTATAGTGATTTATTGGCAAACATTTTCTGCAGGCCGGAATGCGATACTGATTTTGTAATATTAGACGTAATGGACTCCACGTCTTCAGTTATCTCGCCGGAGTGGTGTGCGATACTTGCCAGAAATCCCATATTAGTGTCAGTACTAATTCTCTTTGTATTTAGCGCCTATTCGTTTTATTTTTTGTACATCCGCTGACGTAGGTAGACCCGGATCTTGAAATGTATTTCGCATAAACTCACAGACGTGACAAGTTCAAAACTTAAAATTAGTACCGGTAGTTCTGCTGATTACCACTGAGGGGAATGCGACGGCAAGGCGCTCTGAGTGTTTTTGTAGGACGTGCTTATTCAATAGCCTGATCTCATCGGCTTTTTATAAGCTATTTGTAAATTCAATAATACTTCAATAGGAAGCGCGGGGGGGCTCCTAAAGTCCGGATAGACAATCTAATGGCTAATTACAATCTATGGCTAATTGTAAATTTTACCTTAAGTGGCTGATTTAACCTATCTGCGCGGCGGCTGTTGGCCAATTCGGACGCGACCACATGCGAAACAGCTATTTCGCTAATGAATTATTACTATTTACTTGTAGGCCGCAACTGGGAGAGTAAATAGTTATATTTCATTTCCTCGGTATACTAATTGATTTGCGGAATCAGCCATATTATGTAATTAAAAAAAAAAACACACATGCACAAACCCTATAGAGAATTTACTTATTTATTGATTGCGAATACAACACTTGAGTCGGTACTAATAATTCCTATTGCGTACAAAATAATTTCATGTGCTGTTGTCTGGTAATATTTCCCAAAAATGTGTGAGCCGGGAAGCGGTCTCCGAGCCAAGCGTCGTCTGCAACCAATACCCCTCGTTGTCATCGCCGAAAATGTTCTCTTTTTCCGACTCTAGCAACGCCGAACAATATTTTTTCAACTTTTTCGACGAACCACAATGTTTCATTTTGATAATAAGAGAAATTTCAATCTGCATTGACCGTCTAAAACCTGCTGGAGTCGGCGCTGATATCGAGCCCATGATTCGACCTGAAATCAAAAGTTGGATATCTAGAATTACGGCTAGAGTTCTATATTATGTGTTTATTTAGTAAGACTGGTTAATATTTTTTCCGTAATCGCATTGCCGCAGAGCTTACGGCACACGTTAGTTCAATTGATAACTTTTATATTATCGCTATAAGGGTAATAACATTCTTGACTACAGTCGAAACCAATTATTATGCTGATTGTCCGGTACAACAAAATATACGGATTTTATGATCGTAGTGGTCAATTAAAATTCGTTGACGGTGTGACGTTAAACGTAGAATTCGACGATGAAGTCGATTTAAAACAATGCGTAAAATCTCAATTGTTTACAGTGAAAAGACTTTTTTCCGCCCGCGATATTCCCGATCAATTAGTTTTGCTCAATGCTGTTGAGTACGCCGATAGGTTACAGTCGGATTTTACACGTTTTTTTACCGGCAGCGTTAAATACCGCCAACAAGATCGCACTAATAATTGTTCGTTTGTGGCCAACGAAACCACCAGCGCAACCGTCGGCGATCACCAATACGCCAGTGACGACGATAGGGGAGCCTTGACGGACGTGCTGTCAACTGATGCCATGACAAAATTAATAGCAATCGCCTTTAACTGCATTGGTAAAAAAATAACGCACATCATAGACTACTTGGACGACATTAACAAATGTTTAACCGAAACGATGAACCACACGTATCAAAACGAGCGCTATAACAATTTGAAACAAAAATGTCAACAAACTATGAAACGCATCAGACTTACAGACGATTTAGCCGATTATGTTAAACTTAGTCAAACATTAATGGAATTAGTGGTAACCATGCGCAAACCATATATAACATACGGCTTACTATCGATTTTATTGATGCACACTACTCTAGCGCTGAACAAATCACAAAACAATAGAATATCGGTCCAATCGGATGTACATATGACCGTCACCGACGTATATTCTAATATCGCTTTAATGATAATCGTGGAGAACTTACGGCAACCGAAAGACGAATATTGTTTGAATTTACTCGCAGATATTTGCGGGTACTCCGCCGACGGTATTAAACCCATCAGTGGATTAGACTGTCATACGACGAAATATTATTTGTTCGTCAATAAATTGCGTAAAGTCTGCAAATCAGAACTGATTGGGTTAATACCGGCATTGGGGTTACAGAAGTGGAAAAACTACATTAGGACTTGTGAGAAAAATTTTGATTTGATGGAGTTAGTAGTCGAATGCATGCCGAACAACCTGACGCCAAGTCCTAGGTGCCGACTGCTCTCGAAAGTAATAGAAGCGTACGACACGCAAATCAACGTTAAATATTCCAATCGAGATAGTTTTACCGGCAAAACTCTGTTTCCCTACGCTTTGATGTGCAATGTAATTCTGTAAAAAGAAAAGCTAGAAAAGACATTTCTTGAAAACCGGCAAAACTTATTCGCGGAATTAAAACAAGGGGATTTACCAACTTTAACAATCAATGATTTGTCATTAATTAGGCATAATATTCACCGTGCTCGTTTATCTGTGCATCCCCCTTTGCCGAATAGCCTTGAGGAATTACATGCTGCTTTGGGGTCCATGGATATTAAGACCAACATAGGCGAACAATTTTTATTTGTTAATGACAAAGTAGCAGCTATAACTGGTTTTTCTACGCAACAAAATATAAAAGTGCTGTGTGACGTAAAGAACATTTATATTGATGGGACGTTCAACAGCTGTCCCAAAAACTTTACACAACTTTTTACCATCCATTATCTTAAAAATGATGTATACATACCTCTTGTTCTTATTGTGTTACCTAACAAGTGTAATACTACGTACACGTGTGCGTTACAACATGTAGGTCGGCGCTGCATATATGTTGGTGTAATCAGGGGCGTATTTAGATATTTTTTTTGGGGGGGGCTGAGGCATTGAGTAAAAGAGCTGTGTAAAGAGTTATTTCTAAATTCTGATCCAGAAATAAACTTTAAAAATTTGGCCAAACTTACCCATTTCTCAACCTATTAAAAACAAGACTTCGAAATTAAGTGTAAAATTGTAATATTATAATTCTGATATAATTATTATTAGTTACACAATCTCAAGTCTTACAAAATATTATATAATAAAATAGAAATTATAATTCTTATTAATACTAATTATATTAAATTCAAATTTCTCTCTTTACCACTGTTGGCAAATTTGTCTAATACCATATCATCATTTACATCAATGTCTCGGTGAATGGATAAAAGTGCTAGTCCTACTAGCCTGGACTCAGAAGTTGTATTTCTTAAATATGTTTTAAGTCTTCTAAGAGTAGAAAAGCTGCGTTCAGCCGTAGCGGTGGATACTGGAATTATAGCTAGTATTTTTAGTAATTCAAATATGTTAGGGTACATTAAACGATCACAGGCTCTTAGAGCTTCTATAGCAGTTGCAGGTCTTAAGTTTTCTTCAATATTTTTCCATTTAGCCTGCCAAATTTCATACTCTGCTTCTATAATGTCGTTTAGCCCAGGTAAATCACTTTTATAAAATTCGACAGCTTTTTTTAAATTAAAAAATGGTTTTTCAACTATGATACGAGGTAAGACAAATTGTAATGAAATTATAGTTTCATTATGAGGTAAAAATCTTTCATTTAATGCCATTATTAAATCGTCCAAATACGGTATAAAAATAGTTTTTTTGTAAAAATCTTCAATATTATTAAACGGGACATTGCTTCTATTTTTTTGATTGCTGCATGTTCGAGGTATTTTTGGTTCAACATTTAACTTTATAGCAATACCTTGGGCGTCTTTATAAATATCGTTAAATTTTAAATCAACGTTTTCTCTTATGGTATTTAACACAGAAACCACCTGGGTAACTTGTTTAAGAGCGTTAAAAAGATCGATATTTTTACTTTGTAAATATTTAGATAAATTATAAGTATAACTTAATAATTTACTAGATACGCAAACAGATATTAAAAAATTAAAATTACAAATACAATGTAAAAGACTATTAGTCCTTATTGAAGAATCCGTTCCAGAACATTCATTCTGCAGTTGTTGTAATGCAGCAAGAATGGGTTCTAAAAATTCTTTAAAAAGCATAACTGCTTCATGGCGTAATACCCATCGAGTTTCACATAAAGATTTTAATTTAGTGGATTGTGAATTTGGTTTAATTTCTAGTATTTTATTTTTAAGGACTGTAGTTCGTTTTGCCGAACAGTTAAAAAATGAGCAACATTCACTTATTATACCAAAAGCATTTCGAATATCTAGAGATTTAGACGCATCTGATAAGCAAAGATTTAATGAATGTGCTACACAGTGTGTGTGTAATGCTTTTGGGTACATATCTTTAATGATTGCCTGAACACCTCTAAAACGACCACGCATTGCTGCTGCCCCGTCATAACCTCGTATTTTGCTTAAATCAAACCCATTTTTTTTTAAAGTTTCTTTAATCGTGTTGGCCAATCCTTCACCAGATAAATCATGAACGGGAACAAATGTGAGAAAATCTTCTCGAATTGAAAAAATTTCCTCGTCAACATAACGAATACATAAGGAAAATTGTTCAACTTGAGATATGTCAGTGGTTTCATCTGCTAGTATTGTATAAAAATTTGTTTTTGATACTTTTTCAAGTATTTTTAATTGAATTAATTCCCCAAACACATTAATTATTTCATTTTGTATAAGTGAGCTTGTATACATAGATTTACCACCACTAGATTCTAAATGTTCTTTTAATACGTTATCACCATTTTTTGCGCGATATCGAAGCAAACAACGGAAATTACCATCGTTATTTTTTGGTTCTTCTAAAGAGATTCGACCAGAATCCTCATGTCCCCTTAACGCTATTTGCTGTCTACCACATAATCTAACTGTTTGAATAATTGGTTTAAGTTTTTCGCGATTTTTTAAAATTTCATCCTTTCGTTTATTATTTAATTGTACCAATAAATTATCTTGTTTTTTATCTAAAATAGCCTTTATGTTATCAGCGGTAAGCAACGAATTTTTATGATATTTATTTTTTTCGTGATTTCTGAACTCTTCCAATGCATCTTTCAATTTCGTCAAGGGTTTTAAAACAAGTTTGCCTAACTGCTCATGAGAACCCTTACCAGCCTGACTTGAATTAAAAAACAATACACAGTATTTACAAAAAGAACCTTCTCTTAATTTTGAATAAGCCAACCATTTAAAAGTGTCAAGCCATTTAATTTGAAATTTACGTTTATATTTTCCAGTAGTATCATATAGAAAATCAAACTTATAATCAGGGGTCCATACGTTTTGTAAAATAGAAACCTTTTCTTCGTCACTTAAATTTTGTTTAAACTCAACATAAGCTCCTATATCAAACTTAGAATCTAAAATATGTTTAAATACCGGAGAACTAACTTCTACACTTGAAGCGGCTTGTTTTGTTTCAGATGCCACAGTGTCTTCATCTTGGAAAACATTTGATAAAGATGGAACAGTTCGTTCCAAATCGGTTGACTGTTTAGATTTTTTAAAAAAAGTTAACAATGACTGAGTTCGTTTTATTATATTATTTTAATAAAATTAATTTTACACAACAGAAACACAGAACACAGAACACTGTACACACGTCTACACACGTTATTAGTAAAATATACTATGAATTCGATAATATTTCTTGGCAAGCCAAACCCCCCAATTCTTAACATACCATACAAAAAACAAATAAAAACATTTCGTTTTTGCTTTATTTTTATATAACATAAATATTATTCTATTATTTCTATAACATCTGCGATTAGTTCGATTTGTTATTGATATAAGTAGGTATATATGTATACAGGCTATAGCAATCTTTTTTTTTTATCGTTGACATTTTTTCCCCAATATAAAATATACTACTGATGTTTAATTGTTTGTATTTATTTATAATAGCTCTACAATAGTAGTGTACACTGCATGTATCGCGAAATAAATCGAAATAATATGACGATGATCACTCCTATCCCTACGCTTTGCCACAAGACTGAAGACAATTGGCGCCCGTAAATCAGCCGCCCAAAATATAATAATAACAACATAGTCGTTGTGTTATAAAAATAAAATCATAAATAGCAATTTATTATTTTTAAAACGACTATACTGAACTTCTACAATATTTATATCCTATAGATAAAGGGTATAAGCTCATGCTGCTTAGGCAGACTTAAAAAAAATTTCCTGGAATTTTGGGGGGGGGGGCTGAAGCCCCCTCAGCCCCCCCATAAATACGGCCCTGGGTGTAATGTACTTTCCTACTGAGGTTCTCATTGACTTTGAACCAGTAATTCACATTGCAGTAGCGGAAGTCTGGCCTAATGTGCAAATTAGAGGATATTGTTTTCATTTAGGGCAAAGTTGGCGGAGAAAAATACAAAGTTTAGGTCTAGCTAAAATATATAACGCTCATCCTAATACACCAAATGGCTTATATTTAAAGTATTTTTTTTGGATTGCCATTTTTAAATTCTCATAATGTCATTGACTGTTTCACTGATCGCTTTATGGCAATACAGCCAGCTAAAGACGATAGAATTTTAAAATTTACCGACTATATTTTCGAAAACTACATTTTACCAGAGGCGACGTTCCCCCCCTTCCCCAATATTTGGGCACAGTTTACTACCAGCTGCAACCGTACCACAAACAGCTGTGAAAGTTTCCATTCGAAATTAAACGGTTCATCCTATACCAGCCATCCAAATATCTATAACTTCGTCGATGTGCTACTCGAAATTCAACCGGAAACGTATATTAAATTAAGAAGTAAATTGTTAAGAAAATGTAAAAAAATGTGCAAGAAAAAAGCGTTTATTAGAGACCAAATGACAAAGCTAGAAAACAAAAAAATCGAACAGTTTGAATTTGTTAAAAGTTTAAGTTTTAAAGAACACTATACAGAGTGATTCATTAAGGATAAGACACTCATTTTCTCGAAATATATTAATATTTTGGACAATATTTTTTTCCAAGATTTTTTGGTACACATTGTTCTATATTTTTCAATATTTTGAAAACTTTTATCACCAATCCTTGAAGGCCAAAAAGGGGGATTTTAGTTTTTTTTAAATGACAACATATGTTTTTATTTTCAACATTTTAGCGTTTGAATTTTGGATTTTCATTTATTTGCTCATTTGTTATGACTATAAAGATTTGATTTTTTGACTGTATTTCTTAATATTTTAAATCGTTACTACAAAAATCATGATTATATTGTTGTAATCGATTAAGTAATTTAATCATAAAGTAATCGATTATGCCCAATACTGTATAATAAAAATAAAATACTACCAGCTACTTGCTAAAATTTTGTACTTACTGCAATCCAGTGTGAAAATTGAACATATTGGACATACACTCAATGTGTAAAACAACGATAATACATATAAATATCATAAAATATTACACATTTTTTTTTTTAATTTAAAAGTTTATTCCGAAAAAAAAACAAAATAACGAAACACAAAATATATATATTTATAATATACTAATAATAATGATTTTTTTAGAGAGTGTTAACTTTGCGCATACGTTTTAGGATATCTTTTATTTGATCATCGGCAGCATATCCTACAAAAGGACTAACCACAACGGCTATATTAATAAATGCATCTTTTTTCGACATGTGTTGTTAATTCTGAAAAAATATGCACGAACGAAACTGTTATGAGTTTTGTACATTAAAAACCTACCTATTATATCATTATAGTAAGTAGTATTATATTATACGTTTTAAATTAAGAAAATAATAAAAAAAAACGTTTTACTTACCCTTAATATTAACTCTCAGGGGCGGCCAGGCAAAATTATTCTGATAGAAAATGTTGTAAATTGTAACAAAAACGTTTTTGCCATAGATACTGTATTAAACATGTAATGAGGATAGCCATAGAAATTTATTTGGTACTTCAATGAGACATGAAAATGCTCTTTCGTGGTTGCTGACTGACTTGACTGAAAAATGTTTACACAATATACTGCTTCGGTATTTTCCTGGGGTTTCTTTTGTTCAGAAATTAATTTCTTTTTCTTATCATTTGTACAGCGTCTGTTAGTAATTTGCAAGTGCAATCTATCACATTGTGCACAGGTATCTTTTTTGGGATTTTTCACCTTTAACCCAGATGTTCTAAAATATTTTTCGTTCTACTAACAGGAGTTTGTATAGTTTTTCTTTATTCATTATAAGCAGAGTTTAAAGTGAAGTACCTATGGTGGTAGGTATTTATTTCTTGTCTCTTTCCGACAATAATGGCTTTCACAAGTTGGAAGGCTTTTTAAGTGTTGTTTTACCATCTTTATATCTTCAGGTAAAATTTTATTGGATGGATTTGCTCTACCCCTTTTATCCGGTGAAGTTTTATAAATAGAAGAACGTAATTTTTGTTTACAAATATTATTAACAAACTTATTCGTTACTTCGAAAATTGCTATAAAACAACATTTACAAACAGATATTGAATTTCCATCTTTTGGAATAAAACAATGATAAGTTTTATTTCTGATTTTTTGTTTATCCGGAGTACTTCGACGTTTTCTTTGACTATTTTACCTTTGTTAAGTCAAATTGTCTCGATTTTCTCTCCAGCACAGGTAGTTTAAACAGTTTTTATGTGAATGTGATTCGGCGTATTTACGTCAACACAATAATGTTCGTTGGTTGAGTAAAGGTAAAGTGATCGAACGTTTTTGGAATATAAAAGCAGAAGTAATCACGTTCTTGGTAAACTGGGAATCGGAAGAAGCAAGGAAGTATCATCAATTCTTAACAAACGAGTGCAATATGCTAGCTGTTGCTTTTTTAAAAGACATTTTTAGTTGAAGGGAAACGTACATTCTGGAACAAAAGGACGATTGATGATCGATGATTCCATTGTTAGGTCCTATTGTAATTGAATCATCTCTTTGTGTAAGTCATTCGCCCTATTGTGTAAGCGAATCATCTCTTTGTGTTTCGGGACTAGTGCAACAAAAAATACGATCACCACCGTTAACCTACCTCAACCTTTGCCGCCCTATAGATGATTGCCATCCGTACCGTCCTAACCGTAGACGTGATACATATATAGGTAGCATATATAAATATAATGTTAACCAAACGCAAAAACAATATTTATTTTCAGGTCTATATTGAATGGGCATAAACGAACATTTTCTTAAAAAAAATTGTATATACGTTTGGGTAACATTATATTTATATGCTACCTATATATGTATAGCGTCCACGGTTCGGTTGGCGTGTGCATGTTAAAATGTGTACAATAATTTTAACGTTTTCAACACAATTGTAATGGTGTATAAATCCTGGTTACCTAGCCGATGTTACAAAAATATGTATTAGGACCACACACATCGGCACACGCATGGCAGAAGGTTTTTTTTGCGGGGCAAAACTAAATTCCTAGTCAACATACATAACCTGAACCTTTTACTAGGTAAATTTTACTAACGATATTTATAAAGAAAAAAACATTCCCCCCGAAACCTTACCGAGCCTACGTACCAAAAAATTATGTAGTCACGACAAATAATATTTAGTGTTAGTCATTTCAGTGAACGGTCAGACATTTTACTTGCTAAAATATTAACAAAAAAAATATCGCAATGGCAAATTCTAAATTACCATCAACTTGCTTACGGAGTGATATGTATAGTTCGCGATTTAATTTTGCTCGTGTCTAAATACCCGTTAAAATACGGGGTAAATCAAGTTTGAAAATATTCTAGTGCTTTTAAGGAGTGGAATGTTGCATATAGTTGTAAAACGATTCAATAATTGTGATTATGTTTGCAATGCATATGTTTGTTGGAGCAATTTTAAAGGCGTAGAGAGGCAGCCCGAGTTCGGGATAAGAACTTTTGCAATCAAAGACATCAATGCATTTTTCGCATTTATGCGTTTAATGCATTGTAAAAAATGCAGACAACCACTACACCGATGGTACACGATCGACACATCAATTGCGAGAAATTGGAGTTTACTCACGCATCACAAGTTTGTAAACTATGTTGATTTAGACATTGAATATATTAACTTGAAATTTTTTTTACTAATATTAGATTTAAGAAAACAGTGATAGTTAGTGTAATTTTTTTTACTAATATTAGAATTAAGATTAGGATTGTAAATAATATATAATATAATTTTTCGGTATGTAGGTTAAAATCGACGCGTCAGTCTGACGCCGAAAAAAATCGTTATTAGAATTGCCATTTATAACATGAATATGTACCATAAAATATAATAAAAGGGACAAAAAAAATAGTCGTTAGAAATCTTTGACAATACCTTTGATAATATATAGTATAGACCGACCGTATGATGGCGACAAGCAAGAGGGGTTTTTTTAGAACTCTGTACACCATATGAACCCTTAGCGTGTATTATACAGGTGCAAATAATTTGACCGTAACATATGAAAACTGCGATTTAAGATCTGGGGTTTTGACAGCGTACAGCATTGAACCCTTAGCGTATATTATACAGGTGCAAATAATTTGACCGTAACAGATGACACCTGCGTTTTAAGATTACATTTTTTGGTTAGCGCTAATGGCGAGAAAATAACGGCTACATTTTTGGGGTGGCTTATGAATGCAGAGGAAGGGATTTTTTTTTGGAAGGAGTTTGCAGTGATCAGCATGGTCAATTATTATACTGTGTACAACCGTCAGATGTATTTTTGCTAACCTACCGTCAACAGTGTCTTGTCAACAGTAGTTTTTGCTCAACAGTTTACATTAATTTTCACTGTTTAATTTTATATATGTCGATTTTGTGTTTTTTTAAAAACAAAATATCATATTATAATCTTAATATTATTTTATTACCACATATAACATATTAACGCATTTAATCTAATAGCTTAAATAACATATTAACACATACTAACGCACTTAACACATTTTTTAAGCTTTTTAACCTATTAACATAATATTACATATTTTTAACATATTATTATTATTTTAGTAAACTTATTAAATTCTTAAACATGTATAAGTGTAGTTTGTGTGATAAATCATTCTCTACAAGCTCTAATCTTAATAGACATTCAAAAGAGATGTATTGTAATTTCAAAACTTATTAGTATACTAAATTTAGAAAAGTGTTTGTGTAATAATTGTCTAATCTAAGAGATGCATTGTGTTTTTCATACTTGTAAATATTTTGTATATATCGTGTTTGACTTCACAATAAACGATGTAAGCGGCCCCAAAGTAATGCTTAATAGGCGAGTTCTGGGGCCGTTTACGATTCAAACAGGGAAAAAAAAAAAAAAAAAAAAAAGAAAAGGTTAGGGTAGGTTACCGTAGTAGGTTTTTTTATATGTAACATTCACTATAAATTATTTAGTAAAAAATATATATAGTTATGACTTTAATATATTGTTTAGAGTAAATATTATACATTTCGCCCTACCATCCTGGTCAATTTTTTTTTCAATTTATTAACACTTAGACACATTTTCACTACAGCGTAAATATTATACATTTCGCCCTACCGTCCTGGCCAATTTTTTTTCAATTTATTAACACTTAGACACATTTTCACGGTTTATATTAAGTAAGGCCATTATTATATTATTAGGTGTAGATAAAAGATCGTTCGAAGAACTGTGTGACAGCGAAGGCGATGAGGCACGCTCTTGATAGTATAACGGTCAGAGAAAACAACGCAAATAATAAACGGTTGAAAAGCCACCGTTTAGCTGCAGTAACGAGAGAAGGATTCGTTTTGACCACCACAGGGTTTAGAGATTTATGTAAAGCTTATTATAAGAAACATTTTAATCAATTAGCGGACTATGAATCTTTCTTGGCTGATACCAAACCTCAACTAATCGAACTTCTTAAAACACTCGTTGCTGAAAATGCCATCAAATATACGTTGAAACTTGAGTCGACGTACAAAATCCCATCCACCGAGGTTCTTGAAAACCGGGCTTTCAAGACGTCTGCGAGGACATTGCTACCTGAAACCATCATTGAAGACCAAATAACTGATGACTTTAACAAATTATTAGTTGAAGAAGAAGACATGGCTGGCAAAGGATCGGGGTTTTCTCTGGAAAAGATTGATGGTATATTAGTAGATGTGTTTAAATATTCGCCTTTCGGTGGCTCATCGTATATACCACTCCCGGAAGCCATTGAAAATAGGAAAGCAACAGTCAATGTACAAAACACGGATCAGCAATGTTTTCGATACAGTATATTGGCAAAACACGTGACTACATCTAACCCGCACAGAGTATCACACTATGAAGGTATGGCAAACCGGTACAACTTTGCCGGAATTAATTTCCCCACGCTGTTGTCCGAAGTAAAGAAATTTGAGAAGAATAATAAAGAAGTGTCCATCAATGTTTATAGTTTCAAGAAAGGTAATCGTACGTATAAAAACAAGGCGAAGAAAAACATTCCTAACCATAACAATGAAAAAAAAGATTACATTATTATTCCATACCAAGTATGCACCATTGAGCAACCGAATCATTTCGATCTGTTATACTTCGATGATGGGAAAGGCAACTTTCATTATTGCTATATCATAAACCTGACACGACTGGTTGGTCAGCAAATGTCTAAAAATAACATAGAAAAGGCCATATGCAGACGATGTTTCAAGACTTATGTGGATGAAGCAGGAAAAACCCCAAAGGAATCCAGACTGGACGAGCATAGAAGAATATGCAACAAAAATGAATCTGTGACGCCAATTCTACCCCCACCAAAAACTTATATGAAATTTGAAAATTATGGTAATACTCAAAAACATGATTTTGTGATTTATGCGGATTTTGAGTGTTTGTTGAAGAAACCAGCTGCAGATAGTCATTTCGGTAAAACTACTGTTACCCAAGACCACGTGCCCATGAGTTATGTGTACTTAGTCAAGCCTAGCGAGGATGTTCCAAAAGAGTTGTTAGATCGATTTAACATACCTCAAACTCCAAATGTTTACAGCGGTAATAAAAACAGCGAATTAAATGATGTGTCAAAACATTTTATTCAAAGTATTACCGATGTAGGACGGAATATCGAGCAGCTTTTAAACGTTAATACCCCTATACGCATGTCGACACAGGACGATAGCAACCATCGTGTCGTGAACGGCGGTCAATGCCCTCTCTGTAATTGCAAATTTTCAATATTAAATCATCCGGTACGCGATCACCACCATTTAAGCGGTAGATACAGACAAACTGTCTGTAATAGGTGCAATTAAAAAATGCAAAGGCCAAAGTTCGTAAGTTGCATTTTCCACAATTTATCGTCTTATGACTCGCATATAATCGTCACTGAATTAGTCCATGATCCACACGCAATCAACGTTATTCCTAATAGCGAGGAAAAATTAATTTCGTTTTCTAAATTTATTTCGAATAAATTTTCAGTCCGATTTTTGGATAGTTATCGCTTTATGGCCAGCAGTCTTGACAAATTAACAAATAACCTTGCCCGATCTGACAAGTCTAAGTTCCGTTCTGTGTTGAGTGCATATGGGGCGGACGATATAGATTTGGTGACTCGTAAAGGTGTTTACTGTTATGAGTATACAGACTCATGGGAGAAGCTTGAAGAACCGTGTCTACCACCGATAGAGCAGTTCTATAGGTAAAATATAATAACTATATATAAACTAATAATAAATAATTTTTAACCAAATCATTTTTTATAGTTCACTAACCGAAAGTAATATTTCTCAAAATGACTACGACCACGCGTTAAAGGTTTTTAACCACTTCAAATTTAAAACTTTAGGGGAATATAGTTTATGGTTAGTAATATATATATATTTATTTTAATTCATCATTTTATTGATAAATAATTATTTTTAGGTATAATGAGTTGGATGTACACATTTTATGCGATGTCTTTGAATCGTTTAGGGAACTTTGTATAACTACATATTCTCTAGATCCCTGTTTTTACTACACATTACCCGGATATTCTTTCGATGTTTGTCTGAAACATACTAAAGTTGAACTGGAATTGTTGTCTGACTACGATATGCTTCTAATGTTTGAGAATGGTAAAAATATATAAATTTACAGAATAATAATAACTTAATTAATATATAAATTTATCGTTTAGGCATAAGAGGAGGACTGACACAAGCATCGAAAAGATACTCCAAAGCCAACCACGCTAAAACACCGTACTACAACCCTGCAGAGCCAAATAGTTGGATTATTTATCTGGATGCCACGAACTTGTAACTACTTATACTATATATATATATATATATATATATATATATATACTAATAAAACAGTATATTTGTTTAATTTACATAGTATAATTACTTTAGATACGGATGGGCAATGTCTCAGGCTTTACCTTTGGGGAATTTCAAATGGTATGAAAGTGACCATTCGGTCCATACAGTGAAACATTTGTTAAAAAAATGTGACAAGAAGTCGAAAACTGGGTTGATGTTGGAAGTTTATATAGAGTACCCTAGATCCCTTCACGTCAAGCATTTAGATTTGCCTTTTATGTGTGAGAGGTTAGCACCAGCTGGTTCTCGCATAAAAAAATTAGTCGCCACCTTACAGAATTAACAGCGGTATATTGTACACCATTCAATCTTGAAACAGGCATTAGAGGCTGGGCTTATTCTTAAAAAAGTCCACAGAATTCTAAGCTTTGACCAAAGTCCGTGGTTGGGGAGTTATATCTCGCTTAACACGGAAATGAGGAAAAAAGCCATCAATGATTTTCAAAAGGATTTCTTTAAGCTTATGAACAATGCCGTTTTTGGTTAGTATCTAAACATTAAAATAAATATAATATATTATATTATAATATCAAATTAATTATTTTTTAAACAGGTAAAACTATGGAGAATGTTCGCAACCGAATGAAAATGTCACTTGTATGCAGTCCTGAGTCTTGTCAAAGGTTAATTAACAAGCCTACATTTAAAGGTGTCACGCAATATAATGAAAACTTGTATGCGGTACACCAAAATAAGGATGTTTTAACTTTTGATAAACCAGTCTACGTTGGGTTTTCCGTCTTGGAAATTTCCAAGACGTTAATGTATGATTTTCATTACAATGTAATGAAAGAGTACTACGGTTGCGACATTGAACTACTCTATATGGATACAGGTATATTATTATTAACTAATTTTATTTTAAACACAATTATATTTAATACTACTTTTTTCAGATTCTCTAATGTACCTGATTAAGACCAAAGATTTTTATGCCGATGTGTTGTCCAAACCGGGTTTTTTAGAAAAATTGGATACATCCAATTTTCCACCTTCACATCCATGTTATAGGACAGAAAGAAAAAAAGTTCCGGGGACTTTTACAGGTCAGTTAAAAAAACATTTAAAAAAAAAATAAAAAAACTATTAATTTTGTATGTTTTAGATGAGACCGTAGGTGACATTATTTGGGAACATATTGCACTTCGAGCAAAATCTTATGGTTACATACTAATGGGGGCCGAACACATCAAGGCTAAGGGGGTCGCCTATCATGTGATTAAAAACCACATGACATTTGAGGACCACAAAGACAGTTTATAGTTGTACATTTATATATATATATATATATGTACAACTCTTTGATTTGTAGAAAAAAATATGCATGTGACACTTAGATAGTTAAGATATTATTATTGTTTTATTTTTATTGTATCTTAAAAATGTAATTAAATATAATCTCACCTCTAACCTACCATGTAAACATTATATTATTGTATATTTTAGATGTCTTGAAATATTTTTTTGTTATGTTATATATATATATATATATATGTACACCTCTTTGATTTGTAGAAAAAAATATGCATGTGACATCATAGATAGTTAAGATATTATTATTATTTTTTACTTTTATTGTAAATAAAATAGACTACTATCTGATAAATAAAAAAAAGTTATTTATTATTGAAATAATATGTTTTAAACTAAAATACAATGATAATATACAAGGTTATGAATTGTTTATAAACCAATTCCTTAATGCAAGCATTTTATAAAAAGTACAGTGTGTAGGATTTAAATTCATATGAAATAAACAAGAAGGATAGGAATCTTCAGCGTGCAGTTGGTTTAAACGGGGACACCCGATGTCTTCAAGTTTAATTATATTGATATGAGGTACATATTCATGTAAAATATCTATTTTCTGTAGCCCTTTAACGTAAATAACTGAGAACGTTAAAGAATTTAAAATTCTCGACACTTCTTCTGTTTCAACATCTCCATATTGAGGTGTCATTGAGTGATGATGTTTGGCTAACCATTTATTAACGCTTTGTGATTTATTGTTTGAATTTTGTGTAAAGCTATATTTAAATATCCAATGTTGAGTATTCCATGTGTCAGTTGCAATTACAGATAATTCTTTTATTAAATACTTAGAGTCCGGAGACATAATACACTCCATATCTAAAATAGCAGAGGTCATTATGAAAAATCAAATAACTGTTTACTTTTTCAGTAGAAGGGAAGGAAGCGTTCTACTACTATAGTATATGCCAAGCTAATTTTTACGGTTTCCCAAAATATTAAGAATGTCAATGATCGTTTTATTAGTTGAATACTTAAAAATTTCATTATCCTTAATTAATGATGTTATTTTAGTTTCAAGAGATTTAATTTTGTTAAGGTTATCGGATGCTACTTCTTGCGTCTCACGCAGCTGTTTTGTAATACTTGAAGTTAATGTTTCTATATTAGTTACTATATAATTAATTTTGGTAAGGTTATCAGATGCTAATTTATGTGTCTCACGCAATTGTTTTGTTATACTTGAAATTTGAAGGACGTTATTTCTAATGAGTTTGTTATTGCCGTCGTGTGATGAAACTAGATTGTTTATAAATGTATCAGAAGTCTCTCCAAACACGTTCATAGTGATACTGGCTATAATTGCTTTATACCACCCCTATTTATCCAACTATTTTCTGTTGACGGAAATCCTAACCATTTAACATACAATTTAGATCCTTTTGTTCGCACAATTTTTTCTACTAAGTAGTCGTGGGGGTAATTTGTTTTGGACAATTCTTCTGTGTAGAAGCAACCCAGTATAGGGTTATTTTTATAATCTTTAAGTAAATAAGTGGGGGGCTCTGATTTGTTGACTTTAGTAATGCAAAACACCTCCGTCGACCAGTTCTGAAGGTATTTTTTATCAAGGAAACTTTTAAAAATTGATATTCTGACGTTATCACCATTTTTAAATCTGACTTTTTTATAAGGAATCACACGTTCGCGTAATTTAACTAGTGAGGGGTTTGCATTAGCTTGTGCAAGTGTTAATCCTATAGAACTGTGTATAGTATGATTATATTTTTCAGTTATTGATGGTAGAATATCTATCCAATTATGTGAACCTCTAGCTGTGAACTCCCTATACATAAGAGTTTTAAGCGTTCTATTAAATCTTTCGACGATGCTTGCTTTCAATGTTGAAAAAGTTGAGTACCGTTTTACTTTATATTTTTCAATTAATTCATCAAACAACTTTGAGTAAAACTCCCCACCTTTATCCACTTGCAAAAGTTTAGGACACTGAGTATCAAATATTTTAGCCATTGCTAATGTAACCTCTTTACTGGTTTTTGATTTTAATGGTGCAGTGTATGCATATTTTGTATAACAGTCTAATATTGTGAGTAAATATTTATACCCCTTATTAACCCTAGTATGTTGTACAATTTCACACAAATCTGCTTGAAACAAATCATTTTTACCATATAATACAACTCTTCTTCTAACAAAGTTTCTTCTTGCTGGTTTGTGTAGTTTGTTGGCGATTTCCCGTTTAGACATATGGAATTCGTTTTATTAATTTATACTCGAGTAGTTCTTGCCAAATTAATGTGATTTCATTCGATACACCCGTATTACCTGCTGCTTATGAAGCTAATAGTAATTTTAGACGTTCACACAATTCGTTTGGATCTTTCCAAAATATTAGCTCTTTTTTAACGTTTTTTCTTGATGTTAAAGTAAGACCGTCTCCTTTGAGGAATAAGCCTACAATGAGATTATATTTATTCCCACCTTTTCGAGTATGCGTTTTGTTTTTGTTTAAGTGAACATTTGATTTTAATAACATATCTTTATAGTTCACCAAATCTGACTCAGTATAGTTGACTAGGTTTTTTGAAAAAATTAACTGAATGATACCCATGGTTAATGGGTATGACGTGTTATCTAAATAAACTGCATTTTCTTTAGCCTCGAACACTAACGCACACCCCCAAGAGTAATTTGCCCAGTTTTTTTATCGTGTTTAGGTCCATAAAGTTTATCCAAATTAAGTCTAACTCTAACAATGTTTTTATGCGCGTGTTAATAAAGTCTTCTAAATCGGCCACATCATGGCTTTGATCTTGTGTCTGTACGGCAATATCTGTACTCGTTTGTACAGATTTATTTACCGGTTTTTCTTTTGATTTATTTTTAGTTAATTTTATATCCGTTAGTTTTTGGAGAGGTTCAATTATAGGATTTAGATTTTGTCTTATGGCATGTTCGGTTTTCGCGTTATTTTGTTTAAGATCTTTAAATTTTTGTTTAATATTTTCTCTAGCTTGTATTAATTCCTTCCTTAATGTGTAACTTCCCTCCGTCATGTTTGAACGATAAATGACTAAATCGCTATGTGAGTTAGACTCTATATAGTAACAAACGTGTCGAAATTGAGCCTATAACGGCCGTTATCTCTCTCATCGTCTTTGCTAATAACTATAAAATTATATTTTTCACGATTCCTACAGGTTGTACAAAACTCGTTAAATTGATTATAGGACATATCAGAAGCTACATGATCATTGTAAATATGTTTTAAGTTGGTCTGATCCATTTTGAACACCACAAGAAAGTTTGCGTTATCGCGTAGAATTCTTTTATCTAAATATGAATAACTTTGTGCACAATATAATAAATCCAAATTATTATGCCGACCACGAGCAAAATATGCACCTTGACTTTCTGTTAAAACGTCATCGAATATAAATGTGCTTTCGGGTAAAGCTTTCTCAGGTGGAATTACAGTATCACTTTCGTTGAAAGTAAACATCTTCATACCATCAATACCAGATATAATATCCTTTAACATTTTATATTTCGGTTGATCTACAGTTTTCGAGTATAAATAAATGTTTTGAAACTTAATCCCATTAATGTTAGTAAGTAAAGAGTACACGCAGTTGGTTTTCCCCCTCTACTAGGGGCTAATATTAAGGCGCGGATTGAATGTGGTAGTAAATAGCCATTTTTAGACTTAGTCTGATACATCTGCGGAGGATCCGCGTTTAAAACTGAAAGTTTAGTAGCTTGTGGTAAAAATATCATAACGGTATAAATATATCTGATTAAAAACGTTAGGGATCATATGATGTCTACACGTCGAAAGAACAACACCAACAAAGGTGGTGGTATACTAAACACTGCAATAAATAATCTTCCATTTGAGTTACATTTACCAGGATATAGGTAATTAAAAATTAGTCATAAAAATAATGATTAAAACTAATATTTTTTTTGAAAAAAAATTAGATTCGCAGGTCCCGGGACTAATTAAAAAAAACGGCTTGCACGAGGTGATAGAGGTGTGAATAAATTGGATGATCTATGTCGAGATCATGACATTGCATACAATAAATCTAACTCTCTGAATGATAGACACGAGGCTGATAGATTATTAGAGGATAATGCATGGGAACTAGTTAAATCTAAAGACGTTGGACTTAAAGAAAAAGCCGCTTCTTGGTTAGTAACTACTGCTTTAAAAGCTAAACAAAAGTTAGGTATGGGGGTTCAATTTAAGCAGGTTGTATGTGCAGCAAAAAAAGCTGTTAAAAAGAGTACAGAGAAAAATATGACTAAACTGGCTAAAATCGCTATGGTAGCAGCTAAAAAGGTTGTGGGTAAAAATAAAAAAAATAAAGCAGTACCCAGAATAATAGCTATTCCTCAATCTGGAGGGTTTTTACCCATTTTACCCCTGATTGATGGTTTAACTGCAGTTGGATCTTTAGCTTCTGTAGCGAGTAATATTGTTAAAACTATTAATGATTTAAGGGCTTCTAAGAATACACTTGTCAAGTTGGGTAAAGGTTTGTTTTTAACACCCTATGGTCAAGGAAAATATAAGTTAGGAAAAGGTTTATTTTTAGCACCTAAATCATCAGGGAAAGGAGTAAAAAAACCTAAAAGTAATAAACGAGGAAGTAAATCAAAAAACTAATATCAGAGCTACCCAAACGTGCATTATTTGATTTTGAAATTAATAAATGTGCGCGTCTTCTAAAAATACCCCATTACAGGGGAACATATTGTAGAGACACGTTGCCTGTTCATACAAGAAGCCAAGAAGCTTTTGTTATTAATTTATCTCGATCGGTTGACGCAGGTAGCCACTGGGTAGCTCTAAAGAAGAACTTTACCCCGCTTATTACTACGATAGCTTTGGTTTAGAACCCCCGCTTGAAGTTCAGAAATATTTAAAAGGTTGTAAAATCATATACAACTGTGAAAAACAGCAGCAATATAATACATATAATTGC